GTAATTAGTGCACTCTCCCTGTCAGCAAGGTGTGTCTCTGCTTCACTGATTTAGCTCCGTGAGTTCTGACTAGATGTGTGGATAGGTGAAGACTGGGCTGTGTTCTACTTCTTTCAGCTCTGTTGAGATAACTGTGAGAGAAGAAATAACAGAACAGCTGGTGAGCTTAAAAAATTAGTGAGGAGGAAGAAAGAAAAGAGAAAAAGAAGGAAAGGTAATACTTACAAACAGTAATGAAAGGTTGTGTGCTACGTGTAGTGTTAACTTACAGAATATGTGTTGATGTCATCCTATTTCCTCTTATGACATTGCACTGCTCTTGATCTCAGAAGCAAGCTAGTTCAGGCCTTGCCTCAAGTCTCAGGACTAATGAGTGCCTGTAACTTGCATCCAGTTTATTAGGCTCTGTCTAGGATTCTTTTCATCACTCTGCACTGGAAGGTGAGGAGAAAGTAGGCAGACTCCCTTGGGCAAAATCCAAGGCCTTTTTTGGATTGTTATTGTTGTTGTGTTTTAGAAACTTTGGGTATTGAAGGCATCAGCTCCTTGTCAGCTAGTTGTGTTCTTGTTAGCTTTAACATTCACTGTGCAGAAAATAAACACCCAGCCAAAGAGCTGCAACTCTTCATAGGAGGAAAGAGAATACACAGCAGTATTGAAAAGCCATTATTTTATTAAGAGAAAATGAAAAAAGAAATTCGATTTACCACTCGAATTCAACAATGATCAAGATCTTTGCATCACCTGTCTCCTCCTCCCATATTTAAGATGTTTACTTTTACTCCTGCATTTATTTTTTTTAATATGCAATTATTATCATGACAGGAGTCCAGAATGAAGGCTGCATAGTGAAGTGCATTTGAGGGGAAGAATTGAAAAAATTTTTCTTTTACTTTTCAAAGAGAAGAGCAAATTGGGGGGGAGGGGTGGGCAGGGAGAAAAATGCAATAAAGAATGAATGGGAATCTAAAGTCTATAAATGTTCATTAAAATTAATCACACACATACACAAAATATCTATGGGAATTTTCTCACAAAGCCTTGGTACTATGCTGAGAGTTTATTGATTGCTTCACGTTTTTCTTTTATAGTTTATTCAAATCCAAATTCAAAGAAGACCATTTAGTCAAGATAGTAAGTTGTCTTTAGGAATCTGTGGCACATAGTCCTTTGGGAGTTGTATTGCTAAACTAAAGGTAGTGCCTTTGTGGTCATTCACATTCACCAGTGACTAAGGAGAAAGATGGGCACTCTTCTTCTGTGGGGAGGGTTATCTATGAGTTGGTGTAAAGGGTCCAAAAGATCAATTGCAACCTCTACTACACAAAGGGGACTATCTCCATGTGCAACATTCACAGTATAAAACTGATCCCTATAAGTTCAGATATGCGCCTCCTTGCCCCCTCCTGCTTCTGTGCTTACTTCTACTAATAACTAGGTCCGAAATTTATCACCAATAACTCAGAGATGTTACTTTACTCACAGTATTGGCGTTTATTAAAGAAATAGGTTGGAGAGTAAGGGAGGATAAAAAAAAATATCACACAGTGAAAGTACAGGTTTAATGATCAGCATTCCTAAACCAGGTTAACATAAGATACATTTCCTCAATTAGTTTAGACAGGTCCTCAATCAACAAGTGAAAAGTCCAGGATTAGTCCAGCAAGCTTTGAGCTTTGTCTCATAGCAGTAACAAGTCAGTTCTTCCTTTGCTTGTCTAGTAAGCAGAACCTTTAATTCTGGCTCTCTCTCTCCAAGAATCCACCACGCTCCACCTTACCGTAGTCTCTACAGTTGGGTTAACTCTCTTATGTTGGCCTTGGAGCTATTGATGATACTAAAGGCACTGATCACGAAGAAGACTGATAACCCAGTTACAAAATGAGAGAAGAGTTGGAAAGACTTTTTACAAAGGAAGATACTGAGATGGCCAAAAGACACATGAAGAAATGCTCAGAATAACTTACAATAAGACAGATGCAAATAAAAACCACAATGATGTACCATTTTACCCCAGTAGCAGTGGCAAAGTTTAAGAGGATGTTGTTGTTGTTGTAGTTGTTGTTATATGCCGTCAAGTCACTTAAGACTCATAGTGACCCTATGTTCAACAGACCTAAACCCTGCACTATCCTGTGCCAGTTATACTGCCTCCGACACAACCATCTGGATTACTCCAGTCACTGAATCAATCCATCTCATAGAGGGTCTTCCCCTCCTGTGCTGTCCGTCCACCCTACCAAGGATGATGTCCCTCTCCAAGGACCTATCCGTCCTTACAACATGCCCAAAGTATGTCAGATGAAGCCCCAGAATCCTTGCTTCCAAGGAGCAGCCCAGGTTAACCCTCTCAAGGATGAATCTGTTTGCTTTCTTGGCAGTCCATGGTACATTCAATACTCTTCTCCAGCACCACAGCTCAAAGGCATCAATTCTCCTTATATCCTCCCTAGTCATTGCCCAACTCTCTGATGCATAACAAGTGATTGCAAAGACCATGGCCTGTATCAGATGCACCTTAGTCTCCAGAGTGACACCATTGCTCTTCAGTACTTTAGACAGGTCCCTAACAGCACACTTTCCCATCGCAATATGTCTTTTAATTTCATGGCTGCTAGTGCCAAGAGTGTTGACTGTGGAGCCAAGCAGACTAAAGTTGTCAACAGTCTCAATCTCTTCACCATCCATCCTGATGCTGCCAGTTGATCCAGTGGTGAGAATTTTTGTCGTCTTGATATTGAGCCTCAATCCATACAGAAGCTGGAGTCCTTGACCCTCTGCAGCAAGCGTTTCAGGTCCTCCTCAGTTTCAGCAAGCAGGGTTGTGTCATCTGCATAACGCAGATTGTTGATAGATCTTCTACCAATCCTGACGCCACACCTCTTCTCATAGAGAGGAGATAGTAAGATAGCATGCAATAAATCTTGGAGAGTATATGGAGATAGTAGTACTCTCATGCACTGTTGGTGGGATTGTAAAATGGTACAACCATTCTGGAAGGCAGTTTTGAATTTCCTAAAAAAGCTGAATATAGAAATTTTACACGACCCAGCTATTCCACTGCTAGAAATATACCTCAAGGAAAATAGAACTGAGGAACAAATGGAGATTTGTACACTTATGTTCATAGCACCGTTACTCACAATAGCAAGAGAATGGAATCAGCCCAAATGTCCATCAACAAACGAATGGATTGAGAAATTGTAGCACATTCACAGGATGGAATACTGTAAAGCAGCACAAAGAAGCAATGATTTCGTAAAATACTGTATAACGTAGGAGAGACATGAGAGCATGATGTTGAGTCAGCTAATTCAATCTCATAAAAACAAATACTGCCTGAGACCATTACTGTATAAATAGAAAGGCAACTAGTAAGATATGTACAAAAGTCCAAAGAGGGTAAGGAAGGGAGGAAAGGGTGCTGAAGGTGGGGAGTGGAGGAAATCGTAAGGTTACAGTTCGGTAGGCAGAGGGAAGTGGTGAAGGAATTAGGAAAGATCCATTGGGGACCTGAAGATGGAATAATAGTGGGCATAGGTAAGTGATAATTAATTTTATAATCCACAATGCATGGGAATGACCATATGAAACGCAATGTGAATGAAAGATTATGGTGAAGCGCAATGTATGTGAATGAAACACAATGTATATGAATTTTGTATGCAAACTAATATAAAATATTTAAAAAAAAAAAGACACTGATCACTGGTGAACCATGTGTCTGCAGTTGAGACAGCTGGAGACCCTGCCTCCAGGGAGAGGCGAAGGCAATGACTAGAAAAGCCATTTTCAAACATTCTGCATCACCACAGTTAACTTGCCACTTGATGGCAGTGACTATGAAGTTGTATTTGATGACAGTCAAATTTGATATTCTCCTTCGTTGCTTTTATTTCTTATCTATTGCATTCAACAGTTCCTGAGGAGGTAAAGACAGTTGCTTACCAACCTGAAGGTTGGCTGTTCAAAGCCATTGAGTAGTACGACAACCACCACCACCAAAATGACCTGGGTTTTGGTTTTCAGAAAGATTACAACCAAGAAAGGCCTTTGGGACAATTCTGCTGTGTAAAATGTAGAATTACCATGAGTTGGGAGCAACTTGACACCCTTAGAGTCCTGTTGTGCTCAGCAGCATTTTCTATTAGGTATATTCAAAGAGATATGGCAATGATTGGCTCATTTTGAAGGACAATTTGTAGTGATACTCATTTGAAATGCAGAATTCCTAACTGGAAAGAACATGTCACATGCCTTAAAAAGAAATAGAGCTGGCCTTAGCTTTGACTGAATTTCTATGGTCTTTATCATCTGATCAAAGATTCCTTTCTATGTACTGACCATTACCATAATTACTTTTAAAATAAATCTCTTTAAAAATGTTTTTTTAAATGTCATTTTTCCTGGAAGCTCTGGTGGCCTAGTGGCAAGAAGCTGCACTGCAATCCCAGAGATGAGTGGTTCGAATCCACCAGATGCTCTGCTGGACTTCTTCTCTTGTTTTCTGCAGGACAGTCTCCTCCTGTATCAGTCAGATCCGATTTGATGGTACACACACAAAATAATAAAATTTATAAAATTTTTTTTAAAAAGTCATTTTTCCTTAAAAATGTCAACACTAAGTAAGCATAATAAACATGTAAATTTTGGGGCGTCTTTTAAAATTGCATTGGTATACATTGCTGTATACAGTTACTGAATACATTACTGGCTTACATTGTTATTTCCCTGAATACTGCTTGCTTATATCCTTATTGTTGGCTCAGGTGACATTTCCCCTCCACACAACATTGATATACAGCATTGTTTTCCTTCCACAACTCACACACAGAAAAAGCTGGTAAGCCAAGTTGGTAAACACTTGCTTTTGTCAAACATCATTTTCTTCAACATCAAGAATGTGAGTAAGCAGAAATTATGTTCGGGACTGCTTGATGACAGTTTTTTTAAAATGCAACGACCTCTTATTTGGCTAACATTTCTGTCTCTTCCACTAGGTATAAATGACCAAGGATTATACAGAGTTGTGGGGGTGAGTTCAAAGGTCCAGAGACTTCTGAGTATGTTGATGGGTATGCCTCTTTTCTAATCATTTTTTCCATGCAATGTTTGTTTATGTGCACTGAATTCACAACTTAGTTTTTCATAGTGATGGATAGCATACTTGGGGTTCATTCTTTTCTACTTACTGCCTGGATCGACTTTCTCCTGAGCAGAGGCAGTTGACTCAGGGAAGAGTTAGTGTATGCAACAGCATCGAATATCCACGACTTGTTCATTTACTAAGAAATGAAAGGTGGATAAAAACATACAACAGCTTCAGTTAGCTATCCCTGTTCACTTACTAAAAAATGAAAAGTGCATAAAAACACACCTCAAAGGTGAATGAATGTCTTTCCTTGCTTACTTCTCCCAGCAAAGCAAGAGTCAGGCCTCTGAGATGTGCATGCCTCCCAGTTTTCCTGCCCAGAGTCCTGACAGTACATTTGGTTGGACACGACCAGTGGGACTCGCTCATTTTTTTTTTGCGCTTCCAAACCTGTCATTTGACAGCAAGGGTCTGATTCTTAGGGATTCATTGGTATTCAGAGTAGCTTGTTTGTAGTTCGCACCAGGCTCTTCTCCAGAATCATGCCTGCTCCATCTGTGCTGATAACACAGTGTTCTTTGGCATTGCAGACTATAGGAAGCCAGAAAGTGAATTCATTTTATTACCCCAGACATTATGTGAATGACAAAGCGCTTTTACGCTACACACTGCTGTCACTTCAGTGCCACCTGTAAGGCAGTCTATTTCCCTCTTCCCTCCCCCATGCCAAAGTAGGCTGCCTTTTGAGGAGCGATGAGAACTCACAGGCTGAAGGGCCTATATGTCAAATCAGACTGTCATTATGACCTTGCTAAATATTCATTCATTTGATATCTCACTTTAATTAATCAATATTAACAATGCCCCTAGGTGCACTGTCAATACATTTAAATCTGTTCACATCTTAAAGCGTTCAGTAAAGTTTCATTTTAGGAAGCATAAAACCCTGATGAAGAAAATGAGCCAATGTGTCACAGATAGGGTTGGTTGTTTGGCTGTGTTTGAATGATTTAATAAGCAACAACTTTTTATTTATTTATTTATTTTTTTAAAGATGCCAGCCACAGAAAAAATAGCTCGTCATCGGTTGGAAAGCCTTATTAGAATGCATTTGCTTTCCTGAGCTGTTTTCATTTTCTTCTTTTCTGGTTTAACATGGGTGTGCAATGTTGGCAGTCAGATTTTCCTTTTTACCATTAGTGGCCTCCAAATTAAATAGACTCAGGTTGCCAGTAGTTCAGTAGCAGCTGGAAGAGTTTAATGGGACTACAGCATCTGCTTTTACTTAATTTTAAAATTAGAAACACTTCTCTCATTTCCAATATAGTGTTATAATCATTAGGACTAGAAGACGTTGTTAATGTAAGAACGGAAGATTTTGGCTAAAAGGCACACTTAGGGAATAAATTGGTTGTAAGGCTCCTGGCATCAGTTTTATTATCTTCTTGTTCATGTTCAAGAAAGGTTTGAACAAGAAAGTCTCTGTGGTCACCCTGCAGTGTTAAACTCTCTCAAAATTTGTTCTTAATCTCGTAAAATCCCACTTGCTTTGCATCTCTCGCTAGACTCAGGTGGTGGCTTCTTCTGCTCATGGGAAACATCCTGAGATCATTCTTGCAAATTTTTGTGTTGTTTGCTTGGTTTATTTATTTATTTATTATTTTAAATGAACCCTAAAATATTTGTGACCTGGAAAACCATTTTACTTTTCATGAGCACAAGAATGACACGGCCTCATTCAAGTTGCTGGCAAGAGAAGTGCTATCATTTTCAGTAATAACGTCCTATAAACAGAGGAAGTTAGAGAATTGACGCAAGGGAAAGATACTAAATTGTTATTTCCTCCTAAAGTAATTTATTTAAAAGGGCTGCACAGTATAAATTGTCTTAATTAATCTAGAGAGAATCCGTAGTGTGAATTTAACATGGTAAGTCACACACATTCTTTTATTAGCAATTAATACAATTTTCATGTTACTATAACTTATCAACCCAAACCTTAGCTGTTAATAAAATCGCTTTATTCGCTAGTCAGTTTATTTCCTAGTAAGCATAAGATTTACATACATTTTCCTTTTCTTTCATCCTGATTAAGCGGTCAAATTAAAATAATGTGTCTTACATTCATAAAAGGATTTTAGCATTTTTAGCCTCTTTCAAAAAAGTATTTTAGCATTTCTGAAGAGCTGTGCATACACTCTCCCCTGGATATTCTAATTTTTCTTTTTGTTATTTTAAAATTGTATGTCTTAAAGAGAATCATAATTGAGTGTGTCTGGCAAAACTTTAACCTAGCTTTTTAAAGCCAATTAATGTTATTTTGTTTTCTCCCAAATGATGAGTTCTGATTATTTTGTCCATTTGTAGTACAAGGCAGTTATTGCTTAAAATTATTACTAATATATGTTATATAACACCATTTTCTCTCTGGTTAAGATTTACTGTTTAGTTTTACTTATTTCCATTCAGTTTTATTTCATAAAGTTATCTTTAATTTTTCAAGGCTAATTTACTTATTTGGCATTTAAAAACTGTTACTGACATTTCTACCTAAAATGTTTGTATATTGTCATCTTGAATAATTTGTGTTCCTTAAATGCTTGCATATAAAAAGCCTGTGATATGTTTTAAAGAAAGTGGAAATATCCAAGCTCTTCAATGTTCCTGTTTTTGTTGGGTTTTTTTTTTCTTTCCTTCACACTTAAAATGAAAATATTTAAAATAAAATATTTTTTTCCCAATATATCTTCCACTTCCAAAAGTAAGATGAAATAGTAATGGCAGCTAACAACAGAACACTAAATAGACAAGTAATTCTGGTTGATCATGGTTACATAAGGAGTGGGCCATCCTCGTTTGGTGTTGAATTTCTGCCTTTCTGAGTGGCCCTTCCTCCTGGGATCCCAAGGCACCTACAGTCTGCTCAGTTTCCAGCATCTTCCTAGCCTGAATTTCCTTGGACCAAAGCTGCTTCATTTCTTCACAGTAAATGAGAGCATTGCCTTCTTTTCATTTACAGATCATTTTCCTTCCCTTCCCTTTGCTGTCTCTAAGAGAGGGTGCACACAGTCTGGTGAACATTTTTTAAATAGAAGCTTGGAGCAGTCAGAGGAGACAGGGGGAAATGCCAGATCAGGTGTCTTTGGTGGAGTCATGGATTTTTAGTAAATGGAGTGAGAATGCTTAAGACTGATGACAGTTGTTACAGTACTAGAGCTGGTATGAGTTAGAATTGTCATTTACTCTGCCTTCTCCCCCATACTCCCTTTCCATTTATCACTTGCCTTTGTCTCCACAAAAATACAGCGAGGGGGGGGGCAGGGAAGGAAATTATGAGAAAGGGTGGTAGTGGCTTATGAGGCTTGGAGAATTTGGCTGTTATTTCTACATATAATTGGCAAAGCAGGAGTGCCATCCACTTCCTATACAACATGCCTCTGGAAACTATGAACTTTGATAAATGTCCATAGTTATAGAAAGGTTTCAGGTCTTTTGTTCATAGAGTCGTGTTCATGAGTTGTGCTCAACTCAGCGGCAATCAACAACAATGATAACTGGCAAAAAAGAACAGAATTATTTTATTTATACACTTTTAGGCACAGAGTCATAGAAAACAAATAACAGACATAATATCAGAGAGCTCTCTTTTAAAATACTACCCTACTTGGTTTTGTTTGTAGGACAACATCGTTACCTAGATTGAAGGGAAAAAAAGGCAAATTAACCTAAACTGGAGTGGCCGTTGCCATTAGAACCAACTCATAGTTGAGCCTTGAGCTCAACTAGTGGATTTTTAAGAACTATAAATCACAAAGGAAGAGATTACCCATCTCTCCTTGACAGAGCAGCTGATGGATTCCTGCCAGAGAGTTGCTGCCTTGGAGTGAGCAGTTCAACTCTCTGAGGACTACAGAGTTCCATCAGCGTAGTGCAGTGTGCTTCAAACAGTCCCAAACCGTCTCTCTTCCTGGGGAGTTTACTCAGATTCAGAACAACCCTCTTGGAAGAGTAAAACTTCTCTACAAGGTTTTTTTTTTTTAATTTTTTTTAAAATTTTTTTTTTTTATTATTTTGTGTGCGTGTACCGTCAAATCAGATCTGACTGGTACAGGAGGATATTGCGCCTCCTTCTCCGGCAGAGCATCTGGTGGATTCGAACCGTGTTCCTCTGGGATTGCTTCTCTACAAGGTTTAAACCTTTGAAGAAGCAGACTGCCACAGCTTTCTCCAGAGCTGTTGGTGGGGTTGGAATGGTTGACCTTGTGGTTAGCATCTGACTACTTAAATCACCATGCCACCAGCACTGCCTGTAGATTCTTCGCAACTGTGTTAACTTGCACAGTACATTGATTAGAGAATAAAACCTTTATCCAAATTTTAAAAAAAGAGAGAGAGAGCCTATAGGTTTAGATTTTTAAATAATCCTTGAAGTGCTTATTGTTTCTTAGCAACAAAGAAGTAAAATCTCTCTCTCATTTATGAAGGAATGTATAACTGGAATGAAAAATCCCAAACTCGAATCCCAAATAAGTTATCAAGGAATTCTTCTGAGCCCCAGAGCATCCATTGATTGTAACGGACTGCGAGAGATGATTGAGTTATTTGAAAACAGTGAAAATTTAATAGGAGATTAAAACATAGACACTACGTAGTCATTAGCTTCTGATGTGACAGCTGCTTTTTATTTCATGAAGTCAGAAGGATGACTTATTTTTCCATAGAGAGAATATGGTTCTCAAAATACAGAATGATAATTTGGTAGAAAGCTGCAAATAAAAGATTTCCTTTAGAAGCCCCCTTGGATTTTTAAAATGGTGATTTGCTGGTGGCAAGTTGATTGAAAATGTTATCTGTCTTGTATTTTAAAATGAGATTTAAATAATTGATTTAATGAGAGAGAGAATATTCAGTTACAGAAGTAATTGGTTGGCAAAGCCTTTAGAACAGAATTATTTAGTCCTAGTTATAAAGGATTGCACCTTTAATCAGGGTGCTTAATTTGATTTTTTGAATGTATCTCTGGCTTGTCTGACAAGCTCAGTAACAAATGCGTTTTGAATTGTAGGAACTGATCAAAATGTAATCAGTGTCAGTTGCCATTGTTGTAGTTTATTGCATATTGCTGTCAGTTGCTGTAGTCAAGAAATGTTGAAGTACTTTAAAAAGTCTCCAGGCCTTTGAGTAATTGAGCTCATATGTATGAAGTTATAGCTGTAAAATAACCATCACTTCCTGTTCTACTTTATTTTCAAAGAGTTTGGAATGGCATTGAATTGTCATCCATCCTTCCCCATGCCCCAGCCTAAAAACTTTTAAGTGGCATGCATGACTTAATATCGTGGTCTCATTTTGACAGGTTTTTCCTTTTAGTGTGTTTAAAAAGGAAATACTAAAAAGATGTTTCCTTCTCTGTATAGAGAAAATATACCATAAGGGGGAAAAACTGGAACAAATTGTGTTTTCAGTCTTAGTTGAAATGTCATTCTGGAGTGACGAGGGAGAAATAAGGTCTCTTTCATGAATGTCTTGTTTTCTTTTCTGCATGGTAGGGCTAGAGAAAACCAGCTAGCTTTTATCGATTGTTTTCTATCTTGGCTTCATAGTACTGCTCTAAAAGAAATACCAAATATTGTAGCTTTAAAGAACAGAAATTAATTTGGGGACACAGTTCTAGAGGATGAAACTTAAGGACAGGGACTCAACTGTGTCAGTTCCTACCTTGCATGTTCCCTATGGCTTTTTCCTTGTGTGTGTATTTATCTCTGTCTGTCTAAACCACTTTTTACTATAACTTAGAAGTGAATAAATTTAGTACAGACCTTATTCAGATTTGATCTAATTAACATAACAACACTCTGCATCCAAACAAGACTGCATCCACAGATGTGTTTTCTTGAGTGAGGCACAGTTTAATTCATAGTATTATTTATCATAGTTCGTTTACTGCCCCTTCCCTTCGAATAGGTGCCAAGTGACTCTTTACATTTTTTAACAAATGAATAGTAGTGACCTGCTCTATTTTATCAATTATGAAAATCCATGTACATCCCTGGTTGATACTCTGATGCTCGCAGTAGTTCTGTGAAAAAATTTGCATCTTCTCCATTTTTCAGATGGAGGTTTTGTGCTCAGATCAGTTAAAACGTGCTCGTTTGGGAGCTATGGTTGGTGCAGGGAACAGGCCCACATTTATGCTTTCGATGCCGTACTTCTCTTTGTTGCTATGCTGCAGCTGTGTCTAGGCTCCAGTGTTAAAGATCAAAGATGCCTCTATATCCAGAGTGTTTGCCTTTCCCATCATAATTCCCTTTTCTTTCCTGGAGGATTGACTTTGCCTCTGTAGGATTTGTCAACTCCTTTATTGTTATTGGTATGTGCTACTGAGCCAGAACTATCACATAGCTAATCTCTGTCAGGTTTTCAGAGACTAAATCACACAGGAAGAGACAGCTTATCTATCTCTTGAAGAGCAGCTAGTGCATTCGAACAGCCTACCTTTGAGTTTGCAGGGCAACTCCTTACCACTTGACCACGAGGGCTCCTCTATCACCTCCTTTACCCAACTCCTTTTTTTTGTAACCTCTTTCTTAGAGCTTACTGGCTATTTGGAAAGACATTTGAAAGAAACATGCCATCAGTACACTTTTAGGGTAATGCAAGCAACTTTAATTTAAAATGAATATTAGAAATTTTACACAGAGGCTTCCAAGAAATATTTAATGGATGAGTGTATAAATTAGAATGTTAACATGTTAAGCAATAAATGTTTGACTGGTCAGAAAGTCAGTAACATTTTGGATATACATCTTAGCAGTAGAAGTATGGGGCTGGCTTACTCCTTGCCTCCTCCATTGAATTGTTGGCATTCTAATAAGCATTTTATTATTAATGGTACTGTCCCTTTCTCCCTATGCTAGCAAAGGGTGGCAGCAGTAATCCCAACTCAAACAAGTTAAAGTACACACAAGTTGAAATGCCACATGCTCTTTGTCAGGATCTCCTCTAATAACAGTGATACATGTGGTGATGACTATGGTGCTGGGAACTGCAGTTGTGGGTATTGAAATGCAGTACCATTTTTCCTTGCTTCCAGTTCAGCTTTTCCCCTTATCTACTAAAGATTTTCTGAAGTACTAGAAATGTCTAGTGATAATTAGTATTAAGAAATTATATACGATGTTTTTTGTTACAAATCATAGGATAATTTTTTGTGTTGTGGCCATTTAAAAATAGTTCCCTTGTGAATCAGTCTAGAGGGCCTGTGAGTCTTCAAGGTTTTAATTTTTCCATTCTTTTACTTATACACTAGATGTAAAGACATGCAATGAAGTAGACCTGGAGAATTCCATTGATTGGGAAGTGAAGACAATAACAAGTGCCCTGAAGCAGTATTTGAGGTAAGCCACCACAGAGTCAGGGAACAGGAGCAGACTCTGAGATATCTAGCATAATGGAGTTCTATAATGACTCTATACTACGTAGCTATCAATGCTTGTGCTAAACTTCATAAAGTTAAGAAAACGTATGCCGTATCTAATAGTGCTGTTGAAAATGAGGTAACTAATGATTTAATTTTTAAGTAAATAGCAACAGAACTTGGACAGCTTTGAAATAGCCTTTTGAATAATTTTGGTATCTGGTATAGACATGGTATTTTAGAAATTAAGTCCTATGAAAAAGTGAAAAAGAAGGATATTCATTGACTCTCGTGTAACCTTTTACTAAATTTTAGGTTGAAATGAAGACTATTTTCCCTTAAAGTTAAATAATTTTAATTCATAGATGTATGGTTATGTCAAATGCAAAGTTGTTTGAACAGAAATTTACTTAAAGAACTTTTAAATAAATTTGTTTTATGCTCATTTTTGAAAACATATAGTCAGAAAAGGGAGCTCTGGTGGCTTAGTGGTAAGGAATAGCCCAGCCAAACCAAAGGCACATGGTTCAAATCCACCAGCTGTTACATGGGGGAATGATGGGCAGTATCCTGCTATGTGATTTACAGCCTCAGAAAGCCCACTGGAGGCTTAGCTATGAGGCAATTCCAACTTGATGGTACTCAGCAACAATAGCAAAGTCAGAAATGTTAAACACTTTATGAGTGACCATCCTTTTAAAAATAAAGGTATTAATGAGGAAAGCTTAGAGTTAGATGAAGCATAAGTGTAAAGAAAGTTTACCCCTCCCCAAAAAAGTGAGTTAAAGAAAACCAACACCACCATGAATATAAATCTCAAGCTGTTGGAAACTTCAATATTTGTATGGAAGTGCTTTCTATTTCCTTTCAGTCACTTGTTTTAATCCAACACAAAGAGTTCTATTTCATGTAAATATTATTGAGTTCCAGTGAGAACATTAGAATAAACTGACATAGTCTATTGTATGTTTATTTGTTGTTGTTTGGTGTCCTGTCAAATTGGAACCAACTGGCACAGGAGGAGATTGTCTATCCTTCTCCAGCAGAGCATCTGGTAGATTCGAACTGCGTGCCTTTGGGATTGCAGAGCAGCGTCTTGCCACGAGGCTACCAGAGCTTCCACCATAGTCTATTTTTTTATGAAAAAAAAAAAAAAACCCCAAAAAAATATTATGAAAAATTTTAGGGGAGCCCTATTAGCCTAGTGGGTAAGGAGTTGTGTGCTACTAACCTGAAGGCAGGAAGTTCGAATCTGCCAGCCTCTCTATGGGAGAAAGATGAGCAGTCTTCTCTTGTGCAGTTTACAGCCTCTGCAGACCTACTAGAGTGTACACCTTGAGTCTATTCCCAGCTCGATAGCAGTGAGTTAATTGGTTGTGGTTATCTTTTAAAAATTGTATTATGAATAATTTGAAGTATAAAAAGCCAAAGACATTAATTTGTGTAATACATCTTCAGTATTCATAGTATCTAAAATTGTGCTGTTTCTCAAATTTTAGAGCAATCATTTTTGACTTAAGACAGTTATTTCACCCTTGGTAGGAGATCTGTCACAGTATGGTGGCCACATGGTTAAGGAATTGTGTTTGCCAACTCAAAGGCAGGAAGTTTGCATCCACCACCTTCTCCATAGGAGAAAGGTGGACAGTTTCCTGTTTGATTTCCAGCCTCTGGAAACTCACTGGAGGGTCAACTCTATGTTAGTTCTGATTTGAAAGCATTTTTGGGTTTTTTTTTGAGAGCAATACTTACGGGGTTTGGTGATGTGGTGCTTTATGAATGGTACTGTTAACTGGCACATCGGTGGTTCAAGTCCATTAACTACCCTGATGGAGAAAATGTCTTCCTGTAAAGATTTGTAGCCTGGGAAGCTTGGTGAAGAGTTGCTATGAGTTGGAATCAACTGTGCAGCCCTGGGTGTGGTTTTTGGCTTGAGGAGAAAATGTCTGGAGATATGTTTTGTCATAACTGAGGGGTGAGGGTGAAACGGACGTGCATGCTACTGACATCTAATTAATAGAGGCCAGAGCTAGACCGTGAAATATCTAACGGCAGCAGGATAGCCCACTTTTCCCCAAAGTACACCCCTAGCTGAGGCATTTAGAAGCATAATCAATTGCTCACTCCGTAACTTAAATAGCAGTGACTACTGCCATGCCAGGAGCCACCTTTAAACACATTCCATTGTTGTAGCCGTCAGCTTCATTCTAACTCAGAGCCACCCCGGGTGTGCAGAATAGAATTATGTTTCACAGGTTCTCAAGGTAGTTGCCTCTTGAGAGTAGATTCCCATGATTTTCTGCCAGTGCAGATAGTAACCCAGTTCTTAACCATTTGTGTAACCAAGGACTCCTTTAACCTGTTTTGGTAAATTCATACCCAGTACAGGTTAAGGGACCAACCAGGCTGACCCAGCTGTGGATAGATTTGATATTTTGGGGGGGAGTGGTAGTAAAATCCATGCATTTTGCTGCTCCACACAGTTGTTTGAATTTCCCCTATATTAGCAATTAGTTTGATAAATTAAATGATCTTTTTTCTTTTAGTGCATTCATATCGTCTTGTTTCCTTATACTTTCTAAAGCTGTCATTCCCGCTTTTGTGGGGTTTTTATCTCCTGTCTTTATTTTTCATTACTTTGTTTCATCTTACTGAATTCTACTTTTAAGCAAAAATTGCTTACAGAACAACATTATAAGATGCGATTATGATATAACTTCACTCCTAACAATGTACACATTCTGCCTGAATGTGATAAAGTGATTATCATAAGATGCCAGATGCCTTGGGAGGTTTATAAGTTCGGCTGCTGTTCTTTTCCCTTATGTTATTTTTAGCACCTGAAATGCAGTAATTAGTACAGAATTGACACTTTTTCTGGGGAAGCACCAAATGGGAGAAAGCGGAGTTTTTATTTACCTGCATTTTGGCTCCCAGGCATGGCCCAACATCCTATGTTTCTTTCAGCCCAGGAAGTGATAGTACTGGGCAGCGGCCTTTGGAACCAGCTGGCCTAGGATGGAATCCCAGCTCTTCCCCTTCCAATATGATGACGAAGAGATATTTCTCACCAGGAGAGCTCTTGCATTTGAACTCTGTTTTCTTAACTGCAAATAGTGCCACCACCTCATTGCCTGGGGTTGGCATTATATAAAGGCCAATATCCACATCTCCCAACCCCAAACAGCAAGCCGATTGCCATTGAGTTGATTGTCACTCAGAGTGAGCTTCTCTGGGGGGTTTCTAAGGCTGTAAGTCTCAATGGAAGCAGGCTACCACATCTTTCTTCCGTGGAGCAGCTAAATGTGAACCATTGACCTTTAACTAAAAGCCAGTTGCTTCCTACTCCATCTATCACTGCTGGTTAGTTGTTCCAACACATAAGACCATTATGTTTCCAAGGCTGATCTTTATGGGAGGAGACTGCTCATCTTTCTCCCATGAAGCAGCTGGTTGATTGGAGTTGCTGACTTTTAGGTTAATAGCATAATATATTTTACATTTTCATTAGGATTCCTTAAAATCCCCAAACAACAAACTAAAACATGAACTTGGAGAAGGAAATATGGATAACAGACATATGTCTGATGTCTTGGTTCTTCTGCTTCTGGTTTTAGCCAGTTTTTTACTCTAGCATCTTAAAGAACTGGATATCAAGTTTGTTTGATTCCCTGTCTCTGCAGAATGTGAATTTGATTTCCAATAATATATTTATTATTATAAGTTTTCCACTGTGAGGAGACAGAGTAGCAGTTATATGATGCTTCTAGCAAAATGATTTTACTTGGAGAGAACATCTTTTAAAACTGAAAATTGGAGTTAGACTTTTTGGGAAGGAAATTCCAGTTTGGGTAAATATTGAGATTTATATTCCCAGATAAATCTCAATGGGCAGCAAAGAGATTGACTCCAAAATATGTCAAGTGGGAATCAAAGATACAGTAATTCAGTGTAACAGATTTTGTCTGGGGAACTTGTCACTTTTACTACTGCTTTCCCAACATTAACAAAATGTATTTTTTTTTTTATGTTACATTGCCTAGCAAGACATATGACAATGATAGAAGTAGGTTGTGGAGGATATTTAGAAATTCAGTTTTATCGAAAAAGAAACATTCTCTTTTCCCTTTTTTAAGAGCTCTCATTTTCCCCTTGGCCTTTCAGCGCCCTAGAGTTTCCATTAGTTTGGTCTGATAACTATTTTCCTACTTCCTGATGCCCGTTTTTGAAACAAAATATACCAACAAAGATTTACTTCTGATGTTGGTCTTTCTTATTTCCTTTTACATGTGCTATGATATAATAGATTTTTTTTGTCTTCTTTAAATGATAGTAAGGAGGAGACGAGAGAAGCAAGAGGACACTAATAAGTTTTTTTAAGTTAGTGCTTTAAGTTTTAGTTTGTGTCTCTCTCTTGTGTGTGTGTGTGTGTCTCCATGTAAATACCCTCTATTCACCCATTGCTTTAGAGTCACTAACATAACAGAACTGTGCCATAGAGTTTCCAAAGTGTAATCTTTGTGGCAGCTAAATACCACATTTTCCTCCCACCAAATAGCTGGTAGGTTCAAACCACTGGCCTTTTACTTAGCAACATAAAAATTAACCACTACATCACCAGAACTTCATTTTCACCTCAGCATCATAAATTGCATGCAAGGATCATTTTTACATTTCTTTAAAAAAAATAGCATTATTGGCATGTAATTGATACATGATAGGCTGCACATATTTAAAGTGTCCATTTTGGTAAGTTTTGACGTCAAAAGATGACTGTCCCTCTGAAGCCACCACCATGTTTAAAGTAGTATACATATTCATTTCCCTAAAAAAGTGTCTCGTGCTTGGTTGTAGTTCCTCCCTCTTACCGTCCTCCCTTCTTCCTTCTTCATCCTGTGCCAGTCATTGATATGCTTTCTGTTACCATATCTTAATTTGAATTTTCCAGGAGTGCAATCATATGTATGCACTTAGGGGGGA